GTGCATATGTGCATTCTGAGTGAATGGACAATGCTGTGCACTCGCCAGCACACGCGTAGGTGCACGTATGGCTCCGCGTGTTTTTTTATACAGGATGTCGATGGGTATCCATGTGTCTTGTTTGTGTGCGTACTGTGTGTGTGTGTGTGTGTGTGTGTGTGCGCGCGCGCGCGCGCGCGTGCATAAGCCGCTCTCCAGCCCTGGGACTCGGTCAGTTAAAGGCCCTCCTTCCGCCCTTCGCCGTGTCCTAGCCACTCAGGGGTTTGAACCCGGCCACTCACCGCGGCGGCGGATCCGATTCCGGCTTCTCTCCCGGCCCGACCCACCTTGGACAGGTCGCGTCACCTCTCCACAGCCACTGAGGCTCCAACCGGGAAAGCCCCTTTTCCACCCCCGGGAGGGGGGAATTCCCGTGACGTTCCCGTGCGTCACGCCCCGTGCCCTTTTTCATTGGCTGAAAGTTTAACTCCGGACTTGTGCAGCCAATCATGAGCGACTCAGGCGCGCCCCTTAGAGGGGAACTATTAGCTGCGCCCCGGGAGCCTGGAGCGAGGTTGACTGTCAGCTAAAGCGCGAGCTCTGGCTTGGGGACCTGCCTGAGGCTGGATTCTCTGACCAAGAAGCATCCTCCGGCCAAGGGCCCCGGCTCCGGTCTCCTCACCCACCCTGCCTGCCCCAGACGGTTGACAGTCCCCGCTGCTACTCGGCTTATCTGCTGGACCTAATGCTTGGTCACCTCTGAAGCCGGGGAACCCCAGGGGGAAGCTGGCGGGCCCCAGCCCTCCGGTCCGCCCGGAGCGGGGCCCCACTGACGGGAAGAGTTAGGGGAAAAGGAAATTGATCTTGCAGTCGGTCCCGGGGCGCCATCTGGCGGCCCTTGTGGAGCCTCAAGGAGACTCCATAATCCTTTCTTGCTCAGTCTCTCTTACTCAGCCTCCCTCCCCCCCTGGAAGAGACCATCTGAACCTAAATCTTACTCTATAAATGCCCGGGTCACAGAGGGCCAGACTTTCAGATCTGAGCTCCAGAGTTCTGGGCAGAATGAAGAAAAAGAGGTGTTTATCTGGGAGACTCAGGTCTTGCTCATCCATCACGGAGATTTGTAATATTAGAATTGAAAAGGCATCCAGGGGCGTCTGGGTGGCTCAGGCGGTTAAGCGAAGGGACTCTTGATTTCGCCTCATGATCTCACGGTCGTGAGATCCAGCCCCACGGTTGGGCTCTGCGCTGGGCATGGAAGCTGCCTAACATTCTCTCTCTCCCTCTGCCCCTCCGCCCCCAAAAAAGAAAGAAAAAAAAGTTTTTTGAAATGGCATCCAAAATCTTAATAGTTCAAACTTCCTCCAATGTAGGAAATTTCCTTTTATATAGCTCCCAACTGTGTTTGAACACTTTCAGTGGCAGCAAGATCAGTACAGGATTACCTAAAGTAGGGACTCTGAGGCTGAAGATCTGTGACTGGTAGAGTTTCCCTTTAGGGGGTCCATGAGCAATCTCCATTCCTGGAGTAGTCCTCCCTTAGGCTCATGACCTTAGGCTCATGGTAGAACACTGATTTTTTTTTTTAATGTTTATTTATTTTTGAGAGAGAGTGTGAGTGGGGGAGGAGCAGAGAGAGAGAGAGGGGTCAGAGGATCCGAAGCAGGCCCAGCGCTGATAGAAGCAAGCTGATGCTCTGCTCCAACTCCACAAACGTGAGATCATGACCTGAGTCAAAGTCGGATGCTCAACCGACTGAGTCACCCAGATGCCCTGGACACAGACTTTTGTTTCAGAGTTCCCCTGCAACTTGCCTCTGACCTTGGTAATGGAATTACAGGCCTGCATGGGTCTGCATAAAAGGCAGACTGTTATGGCCCTTGATGTGGGCTATTTCCTGTTACTTCCCCCTCCTCTTCATCTTCCCTGCAAATGGAATGTGTCAGGTAGTGTGTTAAGGTACTATTAGTATAAGTTCTTATTCTTCCTCCCAACAGCCCTTGGAGATAAATATTACCTCTACTGATGAAGAAATTAAGTCTCAGAGAGGTGAAGTAACAACCAAACACAATAGCTAGAAATGAAAATACCCAGTCTACTAATTCTAGGATGAAGCTCTTCCTTAAACTGATATAAAACAAAGCAGGCCTTTTCACTGTGAGCCTCTCAAGTCAATATCATAAGATACCACTGAAAATTTTGCTGACATCCAGGGATATTGCCTACTACATTCCCCTGGTAAATCAGATCCATAACCCTTACATTAAAATGGAATGAGGTTGGTTTGATAAACTCCAACTTAGTGAGCCTGTGCTTGTTGCAATGATCACAACTGTCCTTTCAAAGTGCTCATAAACTACCAGCTGAAATTGGCATCAATTCTTCCAGTCTCCATGACTGCCTCTAAAAAAGCCCATACAAATTGAGCTATTTTATTTTTAAGTAATCTCTCCACTCAACATGGGGCTTGAACTCACGACCCCGAGATCAAGAGTCACAGGCTCGGGGCGCCTGGGTGGTGCAGTCGGTTGAGCGTCCGACTTCAGCCAGGTCACGATCTCGCGGTCCGTGAGTTCGAGCCCCACGTCGGGCTCTG